ACAGTTCCAGCTGACAAGAACCAGTGGGATAAGACGGTGCTATACGATGGATGTGACTGTGACTACACCAAATACATGATACTGCTTGAGATACTGACGAAGCAGAGTAGAATAATACGAAGGAAGACGAAGCAGATTGAGGAGATGAAGCAGAGTTTGAAGGAAAGAGAGAATAAGGGTGAGAAGGAAGTGAAGAGAAGAGAGAATAAGGGTGAGAAGGAAGTAAAGAGAAGAGGAAGGCCAAGGAAGATAGACTTAACTAAGGCAGATTCAATAAAGACAGACTTAACTAAGGCAGACTCAATTAGGACAAATTCAACTAAGGCAGATTTAATCAATAATGGTAACAAACCTGAGAAAAGAAAAAGAGGTAGACCAAGGAAAAACAGTCAACTACCTGATAGTAATCAACTACCTGGTACCAATACGATCAAACAACCTGTTGAAGTATCAGACAGAATTGAACAGACGCCAAAGAGTGAACTGAAACCAATAGCAAAAATACGCATCAAGCCTACTACAAGATTCATAGATGAAACAGACGAGTAATTCATTCCCAGATTGTGTTATTGGCATCCTCTTCCTTCTCATAAAGCAGAGTGTGGTCTCTAGTCTTGTTCTCAATTGCCAGTGTGCTGGTCTCCTTCCTAACAAACTCACCTATGAATCCATCAATTTCAGCCTGTGTTGCCCTTGGCTTCCTTTGCATGGGCGTAGCAAAAATGGCACTTTTTAGGCCATGAAAAATGAGACAGAAATGAGTCACGGAACAAGGATGATTTCTGACGAATTTGGTCTCTCATTTGGAATTCAGGCCGAGGAAGTCGATGCAACTGGCCTCGGCTGCGTCGAAGCCAATGCTCGTGCTCTCCAGAAGATGGCCAGGATGTTAAGAAGCTCCCTTGGCCCAAATGGAATGGATAAGCTGATTGTGAGCTGCGATGGAATAATCACGATGACGAATGATGGTGCCACAATAGTGGACGAATATGTTGCACGTAACAGCGGATGCCTGATGGAGCTGGTTCGTGGACTATCTCGGTCACAAGACGATGAAGTTGGTGATGGAACTACGTCAATCATTCTGTTTGCAAATGCATTGCTACAGGAAGCATTGCGCCTTCTTCGAATGGAAATGCACCCTGTGAGAGTGGCCGAGGGGTTCAGCAGTGTCCTAAACTACGTGGAAGAAGAGATGGGCGGCCTAAGCCAGCAGATTGGGACTGAAAGAAGGAGATTCTCCCTTGCTGCGGTCAATTCAGCCCTAAGCAGCAAAATTGCGTCTGTTTACGGTGGAATGGGGGCAGTCTGCGTCGATGCTGTCGAAGCAGTGGCTGATTCAGGTCGAAATGACGTTGATTTGACCAGGGTGAACGTGAAAATGGTAAGGGGTGGAAGCATAAATCAAACTGAACTAATTTCAGGTGTTTTGGTTGAGAAGGAGGCTGTGGCTGAGGATGTGCTTCTTTCAAGGGTGGCCAAGAAGGGTGAATTACGCCTATGTCTGCTTGCATGTCCATTTGAGCCACCAAGGCTGAAGACGAAGAGCAGTTTGCTTGTTACGAATGCAGATGAGTACAGAAAGCTGGGAGAATACGAAAGAGGCGTCTTCAGGGAGATGATTCAGAAGGTGAAGGAGTCTGGGGCTGATTTGGTTTTATGCCAATGGGGATTCGATGACGAGGCGACATCGATGCTGGTTGAGGCCGAGATGCCGGCAGTTCGATGGGTTGGAGGCCACGAGCTGGGCCACATTGCTGCCCTCTCTGGCGGACGCATTGTCTCACGCTTCGATAGCCTGGAACCAGCCTCTCTTGGCTCAGCCAGAATCAGCCTAAAGAATATTGGAACTGAAAATGAGAAGTGGATTTGTGTCCAGAAAGAAGGAAGCAAAATAGCAACAATTCTGGTTAGAAGCTCCAATCGCATTCTGAGCGAGGAGGTGGAGAGGAGCATACGAGACGGGCTGTGTGCAGCAAGAAACATCGTGGTAGCAGATGCAGTGGTCTACGGTGGTGGGTCACTTGAGCTGAGTTTGTACAGGAAAATGAACCAATTTGATTCAGGCAAGGAAGACCACATTCTGAAGTTGATGAAGGCAGAAGATGTCTCCTGTTTCAGGGCATTCAGTAGAGCACTCCTTGAGATACCACTGGTATTGGCACAGAATGCGGGTCAAGAGGCAGAATGCGTAGAGAAACTGCTGAATTCAGGAAATGACCACTGGATTGGGGTATCACGGGAAATGGGTAAGGCATTTGGAGACATGAAGGCAGAAGGGGTGTTTGAGAGCATCGGAAGCAAGAAGAGGCAGTATCGGATGGCAACTGACTTCGTAAACAGCATTCTGAAGATTAGTGACGTCATTCGAAGGTGAGATGCAATAAAACAGTTTTAGCAGTTTCATCATTTTGTATCAGGGGAGTTTGTGACATGTTTGGTCTGATTGGGATTCTGGTGGAATGTGGTGGCGTAGGACACCTCTGCAAGAGCAATGGGCACATTCAGGTGCTTCAGCCACTGAGTTTGGAGGAGTATACGAGAATCAAAATTGAGAAGGAGAAAGAGAGGTACGAGAAAATAGGCGGAAAGAAGAAAGAGGAGGAAGTAGAAGAGAGCAGTAGCAGCCAGGACGAGATTGACGAGATTATCAAGAAGTCTGAGATGGATTTGGAGAAGATGAGGGAGACTGGAGACTACTTGGATGAACTGGTAGGAAATGGGGAATAAAATAGTGGTGAATAAGTCACCCCAGAATGGATCTCATGAAATATCTGAATAAGAAGGCAGGAAGTGAAATAAAAGTGCACACTTTGACAGGAGAGACCTACAGGGGCATTCTGGTTGGATTTGATGTCTACGTGAATATGAAAATGAAGGATTGTAGGATAAATGAGGGAGACAGCCTGGAATGGGTGGTGGTGAATGGAATGCAGGTGGTCTACGTTGATTTAGATTAGGTGAACTACCAATCAAATTAATACGACTGTTAAAAAAAATTATCAATCTTTACCCAATGAAAGTGAAGAGTGACCACATCTTTTTTGCAGTGCTGGGAATCATCACTGCTGTGGTGGTGGCAGTTGCATCTGTTGCATGTTGGATAGTGATCAAGAAGGTTAGAAAGATGAAGGATGAGATGGGGAAGCCAGAGACGATGGAGCCAGTAACAGAAACAGTCAAAAAACCAACTCAAAAACTGGAGGATAATGAGGAGTACATGGAATTGAATAAGAATGCTGAGAAGTTAGAAGAGGAGTTACAGGCAGAGTTGATTAGGGAGGAAAATGACTATTTGGCCTATGAACATAAACTTGGTGAAGGAGTTGACGAGGAAAAGGTGATGGCAGAATGGAAAGAAAAAGATAAGAGGAACCAGGAAGAGAGAGTTAGGAGGCAAAAGGAGCTGGAAGAACATCAGATAAAGTTGAGGAAAATGAGGGAAAAGGCTGAAGTAGATTTCAAGGTGGTGGTGAAGGAAAGAAAAGTTGATTTGGGGGAGTTTAAGAAGCCAATAGATGCAAAGCAGACTTATGCAACAAAGAATAACCGACAACAGTATGGGCTGAAGAAGGCGAATGAGATTGACAGGTTAGAAACAGTTGAGGATTATTTGAAGACGAGGTCAAAGGACGATTTCATTAAAAACAACATGAATAAAATACGAGTTGATGCGGTAGAGATGAACAAAACCATAGGGAACTATGATTTAACACTCCATACTCTGCTGATTATGGAGTACAATGTGGATTTGTACAACTTCTGGTTTCAAAAGGGATTCATGACTGAACACGATTTAACATCAGATCAATTTTTGAAATATGATCCAGCAAACTACGACTTCTTCATGAATGATCTCTACTACATGCACTACTTGTTTCCATTGCCATTACACAATGACAATTCACTGAATAAAGAGAAGCCAACTCTTAAGATAATACGTGATCAGTTCATGGGAATGAAATACAGAACATTTGTTACGGGAAAACTCAAGCAATTCCTAAATACATTTATTGAATTTATGAAGGATGCACAATCAAAGAAGAACGAGGATTTCAAATCAGGAAGAATGGAGAAACTTTTGGAACACATCACGATAAGCTGCCTGTTTCTGAATGATGATTTTGATTACGATCTATACGGGAATTTTTTGGGTCAATCTAAGGATGCATTGGGAATCACCAGCGAAGAAAAACCACTGGGCCATTCAAGAAAGAAGGTACACGGCTATTTGGACAATAACAAGAAGTTACAGAAGTATTACGGCGTAAAATGAATTGGTCTTAGGTTATAGTAAAGGATGCTAACAATATTGTTATTTTCTAGAAACTCTTATGGAAATGAACCTTTAAAATGGTCGTCCAGTCTAAAAACAAAAATAGTTTCATAAAAAACACGTTGAAGGAGTTGAACAAGCAGGTGAAAGAAGAAAAACGAGCTGAACCACGGTACAAGGTGGTGTTTGTGATAAATATTGATTTGAGGATGTCAAATGGTAAGGTTATTTCACAATGTATGCATGCGTACGATGAGTTACTGGAAAAGACGAGAAGTACGCCATTTCTAGCACAGACGTACGCCTTGTGGAAGGCAGAAGGAGCAGCAAAGATCACGTTGAAGGGAACCAGAAGCAAAATGAGTCAAATTGCAGAGGCTGCTTCTAAAACAGGAATAAACCACTCTGAGGTGATTGATGGTGGTAGAACTGAAGTGAAGAGTGGTTCGATGACTGTGGTTGCAGTTGGACCAGGCCTGTGTGAGGACATTGATAGGGTAACAGGTGGGCTACCAATTTATTGAAATGCTATTTTAGTTGATAAGCTTACTGAAGTAGACAAATTATTGAGTTAATTTACCCCAATGACATTTTTAGACTCAGTTCACCATTGTGTAACAGGCCACTTCTACGGAACAGAGATGCTTGTTCTGCCATCACACGTGACATATCTGCTCTACAGTTGCGTCACCAAGATCCATGCAATCGACCTTGGTCTCTTTCTGAAGATTCTGAACACCTTTTTACTGAGTTTGTTTGTATGCTTATTGACTAGTATGCATAAAACAGGTATAAAAAGAGTCATTGGAAGCACTCTACTGGTCGCTTCATTCATTCCAGAGCTAAAAGGCAGCTTTCTGGTTGATAACAGGCTGTTTGGTGCCATTTGTCTCCTATGGTTTCTTAGGTGCCAATCAATTCCATCTGCTGCATGTGCTACCCTCATGGATCTCCACAATCTTCCATTTGTGATCTACCACTTTCTCACCGTATTCATCACCAATTTCTACCACAATTACCTAAGAAGGAAATCAAATACCGGAAATGTGATCCAATTCGTCTGGAAGATCATAGCCATCCTCATCAGCTGGTTTCTGGTTGCATTTATTGATTTCAAATTGATCAGAAGTGAATATTCCACTTCAACCTACAAGTATGATATCGGTATAAGAAACAATTATGTGATAAACAAGACCACTGATGATGATCCAAATGGCCTGTTTACAACCCATAGATTCATTATGGATAGAAGTGTAGTTGATTTGATCAATTCCAGGCACAAGAATGTTTATGAAGGAATAATATTTGAAAAGGTGCATGATACCGTTGATATTGGAGAAGAAGAGCGATTCATACGATACAACGATACAATCAAAATACACAAGAAGGAGGGTGGAAAGGTGATCTACCTGAAATACGGGGATACAAATGATACGACATTCAACTTCACAGATTGGACAGATGCTGATCTAACTGATGAGAATTCGCTTTACACAGTTCAGGATCCAGAAGACCCAAATAGCAAGGAATATTTTGAATCAAGAAAGGTGTTCAATATCGTCCATAAGGATAGTGATCAGAAGATGTGTACGAAATTCGACCAGAAGATCTATTTCTCAGGTCGAGCAAGAAAGGCATCCTGTGAATACGTGGCACAGACCAATGAGAATCATCCGTATTACATCAGACACTTTGTAATGGATAAGGCACGAGAGACGAAATTGCACTATCAGAAAAACAGACTGAATTTGCTGATCTATTTCAAATTCATAAGAAAACACGGTGGAATTCCGATTGGGCAGCAGGTGATCGTGTTTACGTGTGTATTTGTGCTATTATATTTCATTCTGATGATATTGATCACCATCAGGGAACACTTCTTTGATGGTATCCTATCAGTTGAGTTTGCTGGTGCAGTTGTTGCTCTCGTTGCAATGGCTGCTTTTGGTTGCAATTTCTATTCATTTGTGGTGGTCTATTACGGCTTCATTCTTGAATTCAGTGGTGCAATACAAAAGGCATTGAAAGGGGATTCACACTCAAATAGGGACTCAGACGTAGAGATGGCAACAACAAACAAGAAGAATAAGTAATGAGCAGATAACCTAAAAGAGTGCTACCTACGTATCAAATCACCTAGTCACTTAACTTTAATCACTTTTCTATTTTCTAACTTATATTGACATGGAAATCGAGTAACGTACTCTGCCTCGTGACATATCACGATGATAGTGCTGTTCTTGTGCTTCTCTGATTCAAGAATGTATTCTATGAACTGGCTCGCATGCTCGTGATCCAGGTTGTTTGTTGGCTCATCAAACAGGAATATGGGCGACTTCCTTAAGAATGCCCTGGCATAGAATATCTTCTGTTTGAGGCCACCATTCAGCCACCTGCCTCCTTCACCCACCTCTGTGTTGTACCCATCTGGGAATTTACATATTGTATCATGAATATTCATCTCTCTACATATCTCAATCACTTCCTCATATGATACGTCATTGTGCATCTGTATGTTGTACAGTATTGTTCCATCCATCAGCACCGTATTCTGTGGCACGAAGGTGGTCAATGAGTGCAGTGCCACTCTACTGATGTCCACATTCTTGATCTCATCGTACAATACGCTTCCACCAAATTCCACCTGATTTAGAATAATTTTGAATAGGCTGGATTTACCAGTTCCATTCTTCCCAAATAGGGCAGCCTTCTCTCCAGCCCTGATTACCATATTGGCCCCATCAAATATCACATTCTTCCCACCAGATACCGCGTATCTGATGTTTCGTATCTCCAGCTTGTCACAGAAGTCCCTTGGAATGAACTTCCTACTCACATCCTCCTGAGTCAGATACAGGTATCCCATGATCTGCTCTGCCTCAGCAACAGACTCAACCATCTTCGTCACCATCTCACTTGACTTCTCAAGTGTCTTGACTGTGTCCATCAGTATCTTGATCAACATTGCTATTCTTATTGCACTGGCACCATTTGAGTGTGTGATGAATACCATGCAAACTATCAGCCGGAATAGCACGGTGAATGTTTTGTAGAAGAAGTCGCCTGAAAATATGTGCAACTTGTACGGCTTCCTGTTTCTGACCCACAACTTGTTTGACTTCTGTATTCTTTTGATGAATTCTCGTTCTACACAATACCCCTTTACAATATCAGCCCTATCTAGTGCCTCCTGAAACAGCTTGTCTCTTTCTACTGCTGCTAGTGATATCTTTCTGACGTATTTCATACTCCTGTATATCATATAGATCTTAAATAGCGTAAGCAATGCCGATCCAATCAGAAACGTAATAAAACAGACCTTGTTCCCTGATTGGTCTGCAAAGTAGATCACGGTACAGTCGCAGATCAGGTGCACCGCCTTTGATGGAATGTCATTCAGGATGTTTCTTGCCACTTTTGCCATTGCCTTCGATCCTTCTGAAATGCAGTGGCCTGCCTTCACTGGATTTAGTTCATTGACCCTAATATCATGCGCATTGAATATTCTGTATAATGCATTGACTGACATTCTACTACCGTATTTACAGAGTCTCTCTTCAAACATCCAGTCCAATGCGTAGTTTAGGATGTGTGTCATTGTAATAAAGCCAGTACTTAGAATTATTACGGTCTTTTGTTCACTGGGTCCCTTGTTGTCCAATTTGTTCAGGATTGTCATGCTTAGTGCATTACATACGTTCTTGACTA